GATGGCACTGTTGTTTGTTTTCAGAGGTGAAGTTTACTTTAATTACAAATTCCCTCAAAGCCTCTTGCTTGCCGAGAGTCCCTTTGGTTCATTAACAGATCCATTGTATAGTGACAGTTCTCTATAATTCTAGAGCCTTGCATGTGAATATTCTCTGGTGAGCTGTCTCTGGGGCCATTAAGTATTCAAATGCCTTGACATCTAGAGCTTTAACATCTTGGCATGCCAAACATCTGTAGTGCAGCAGACACGTGTGAATATCCATGTCAGAAAAATTAGGAAAGACATCGCATCGGCTTCTCAGATATTGTACTTCTGAGTGCCAGTAGACAATAGGATATTTAAGGGAATTTATCACTTCCACCCCTAGTACCTTTTAGAGTTTCTGCCATCATTTAGGCTTCAGTACTTGCAGTTAGTTCTGAAAATAGATTTGGGTCAGAATATTGTCTTTGAAAGAAGAGTGTATCTGGGTACGCTTATTTACTTCAGAGACAAATAGAAGCCAAAGTAAATTCTAATTGCACCCAAACACAACCACACACGTGATAGCTTGAGAAATGGGAAAATGCAGATCTTTGGTGCGGGTAGTTTGGGGAAGGTCAAATTAAAGTACAGAGGTGTTCAATTGTAGCCAATGTAAAAAATGTTGGAGATGTTAATGTACAAACAGCAACAGAAAGCAGAGCAATCTAACATCCTTTGGAGGGAAATTGGAGTACCTTTGGCTGACCTGCCTTAGCAAATCAGTGATCTGAATAATGAAGCAAGTTCTTAGTAGCTATGTCAATTCGCTACGTCAGCACATGGCAACCTAGCTGTGCCTCTTGGCACAAAAATTCTGATTCTTAGATGTTCATAACTCCCCTCTTTGAAATTGAACTGATACATGGGGTAATTTAGATAAGCTTTTGACACCGGTGTTCATTTATTTTCCCAGTGGAAAAAAAAATACATGTGTAAAACTGTATTTTTATTCCTGTAATTGTTTTTGAAAAACAGCCACTGTATTTTTGTTGTTTTCAGTGGTGTCCTTACCATCCTCTGCGTTTTGGCAGCACTGACACTTTGCCACTCATTTCTCTGGTTACCGGGGTGATGCTTTTCCGGTCACTGCACAGCGTGCTGCAGCTGCACACAGCCTAAACCTTTCTTCTGCCTTACCCAAAATTTACAATGCAAATGTTGGATTCTCTCCTGAATACAAGCTCTCTTGTTTGCGTTTTCCTGAATATAAATTTCCAGAGCCTTTTAAGCCTTTCTAAATGTGTATTTTTGGCATTAAACACACTCTTAAAATGAGTATAAAGGAGAGGAAGTATTTTAAATGGCCACAGTAAGCTCTTCCTCTTTCCCTCGAGGGAAACATCTTCCTTAGGATGCTGTACTCACATCCACATCATTGGCACTGCTGATTGCTCAATTGGTGTATTGGGATGGCAGGATTTTAGTAGATGGACAAAAGTAAAGTATGAGAGTGAGTTTCAGCCTAATGAGACTCTTGCATTGTTCAGGAAGAATTCTCTTTTATGCAGGTGTTAATTTGCTGATGCCTGGAGGACGGTTAGTAATTATCCACTCTATTACATACTACTATGGAAGTGAACTTACGCCATCCTTCAATCCACCATTGAATAATTTGCACATCAGTTTTAGTTGAGGTGCAGTTCTCTTTGCTTTCTTCTGGTAATTACAGAGAGCTTTATCAGTGTAAATATCTGAGGGCCCTACAGGCTTTTTTTTACCATCCTTTTCTTAATTACATTCTTTCTGAAATAAGCAGAGACTGACCTGAAACATAAAGCCCTCACCTAAGGACTGGGGGAGAGAGCCATCGTCAGTGAGGAGTGTCAGAAACAGTGAGCATGGCTTAGAAAGATGCAGGAAGACAGTCCCAACCCTCAACCAATTCTGAGCTGCGGAGGTAATGGGCTGGGACCACTGTAACATTCCTCAAAAGCACTCTTAACCACTCTAAAACTATCCTAACCCCCTTATAGGCAGCTCTAAACTGTATATCTCTTCCAGATTGCTTGAAAATCCTTTAATCAGCTCTGAAGAGCTGTAAGGACAGCTTACTGTAGCCACAGTAAGGCAATTGCCTCAAAATGTGTAATCTACACAGCTTTGAATGGTCTCTCAACTACTCTAAAACTCTTCTAATCAGTTTTAAGCTGCCCCAAAATAGTTCTAAATATCTCAAAGGATTTATTGCCATTCAGATGCCTTGAACTTCCTGTTAACATCTCTGAAAATCTCAGAAATGACTCAAATTCCTCCAAAGATCCACAAAAGCAATCTAAGCAGTCCTGAGGAGCTGTAATATGCCCATAAAGAGTGCTAGGGTCCTCTAAACTACCCTAACATCCTTCTAAACCTGCTCTAAGCAACTTTCAGATTCATCTGATCATATCTAGATCCCTTCTATATTGATCTGAGAACCTCTGAATTTCATTTGGGTCTCTGCAGTTCCTCCAAGGACTTTTTAAACTGCTTGGAGATGCTTTGAGATGCTCTAAAGCCCTTTGGACAGCTATGAAACACCTCAGATAGCTCTTAAAGAGCTGAATTACACCCCCTAAATTGATAAATTAAATTAAAATGTATTTAATTTATTAATTAAATAATAGAAGTTAACTGTTTCTAAAGCACTCTAAAGTGTCACTAAATCAGCCTGGACTTCTTTAAACAGCTCCAGAATCAGTTATAAGCAATGGTGAGAAGCTACATATTCATCTAAAACCTCCACTCTGCCCCTCTGAAAACCCTCTAAATTGCAATAATCTAATCTAAATTCTCTTACACTGCTTTAAGCAATACTATAACAGGACAAAATAGCTCTCAAAACCCTCTCGATCCCCATGCAACTGCTCTAGAACTCTTTTCTGCAGCTCCGAAACCTCTTTTCTAGAAATAACACTTCTCTTTGGGCCTTTAAAACTCAATGATGCTATCAGCTCCACATCCTTCTGAATGTATCTAACTCCTCTAAAGCCCCTACGGACTGTTCTGAGCTGCTCTAAGGACACCTGGAAAAGGGAGAAAAGTCTCCCAAGAAATGAAAAATAGATGTGCTTTGTGACAACCTGCTAATGAAGCCAAACAGCACGAAAAGTGACCACTGAGCACTAACGGCCCACAGTGAGCATATTTTGGAGTGGAGGAGGAATACCAGAGACCCAACCACCTCTGAGATCGTTATGTGACTGCATGAAAAATGTGCTCCCGGAGCACGCAACAACAGGGGATTGTTCTGCAGGTTACACAAACATCACTGAGTCTTCTGTGCCTGGGCAGAGTTCTTCAGGGTCTTTGGTGGTCGTTTGGGGAGGTGTCCCCCTACTCACTTTGATGTTTGGACGCAGGATTTCTGAGGGCACCTAGTCTCCGTCTGCATTCTGCTGATTGGTTACTGTGTTGGACTCGTGCCCCTGTCTCAAGGATGTTGCTCTTAGTATAGAAGTCTTGTGGTCAGGAAGGATGTTTATTTATTTGGCAGGCTGAGCAAGCTGGGCCTGTTCAGCCTGGAGAAGAAAAGGCGGATAGGAGACCTCAGTTGCAGCCTTCCAGTATTTAAAATGTGATTATAAACAGGAGGGGAATTGACTTTTTATGAGGGTAGACAGTGATAGGATAAGTGGGAATGGTTTTAAGCTCAAGGAGGGAAGATTTAGGTTGGATGTCAGTGGGAAGTTGTTTCCTATGAGAGTGGTGAGGTGCTGGAACAGCTGCCCAGAGAGGCTGTGGATGCCCCGTCCATCCCTGGAGGTGTTCAAGGCCAGGTTGGATGGGGCCCTGGGCAGCCTGGCCTGGTATGAAATGTGGAGGTTGGTGGCCCTGCATGTGGAGGGAGTGTTGGAACTTCGTGATCCTTGAGGTCCCTTCCAACCCACACTGTTCTTTGATTCTGTGATTGTCATGATAAGCAATTCATATGGAAGTAACTATCTTGCTTTGAGCAAGCACCTTGATTAGGCAAAATGGTGGATATTTAAGGATTTTGGTCTTATCATAGCATAGATCAGCAGTACATCTGGAAGTTCTACACAGAACTATAAGTCTGAGCAAAACTGGCAGATAACTAGCTCTAAGGCATCAGCTGTAGGAAACCCAGATGATTGTGCTGGGAGGACAGATGGGGTGGTGATGTGCACTGCTGCCTTTCTCCATGGGACCCAGCCGCCGTGCTGCATGTGCCACACATCTGGTGAAACCGCATGTGGGGGAAGCAAACAAAAACCACATGGGCTGCGTGTGGGCAGTGGTTTTAGCACCCATCTGCCATTGTCTTCTGCTCATTTTTCAGTGCCACGACTTAGAATCGTATAATTACTCAGTTTGGAAAAGACCCTTAAGATTATCAAGTCCAAGCGTCACCCTAGCCCTGCTGCCAAGGCCACTGAACCACCACCCTCAGTGCCACGTCCCCGTGTCTCTACCTGCAGGGCTGGGGACCCCAGCCTTTCCACCAAGAAATTCTTCCCGATACCTAATCTAAACCTCACTCGGCACAGTTCGGGGCCGCTTCCACCTATCCGATCGCTTCTCACCCGAGAAAAAGAGATAGCTGCGGGGGACGATGAGGTTTTCCCTCAGCCTCCTCTTCTCCAAACCGAGCAGCCCCGCTTCCCTCAGCCGCTCCTCCTAACTCTCATTCTCCAGCCCCGAACCCCCGCGGCGGGGCGGGGCGAGGCGGAGCCGCCTCAGGGCCGCTCCGGAGCCGGCGGGGCGCTTCGGACGCTGGTTGCGGAGGTGAGGGGGCTGTGGGGCCGGGGGGGGGACGGACTCCGACACACCCGGCCCCCAGCACGCTGTCGAAACCTGCTTCAGAACTTTGACGCTGTTCATAGCTGGAGTGAGTGGAGACAAAGCTTTAAAGATGGGCGATTGCTAATCGGTGTTTTTCTTTATTTTTCCCCGATCAGCTCGATGACGCCCAGAAGGAAGCTGGAGGGTCTGGTCGCTGCCACAGTCACCCCGATGACTCCTGATGGGTGAGCATCGCCTGGCACCTCTGCACGGTTGTGTCACGCTGTCGGCTCTCCCCTCTGGATTTCCTTTCTTATTTGGAACGGATGGCTTTGGGCTGCGATTTGGATCAGATCTCTGTGGGATGGGGAACTGCTGGGTGAGAGGCTGTCTGTCAGGGCTTGGGGGTTAGATCAGTCCTTAATCCATTTTTTCAGCTGTTTTTGTAGATGCAAACTAAATCACAGGAAATCGTGTTAGTATTGCAGTATTTTCAAACTCAGATCACACCCCTCGTTAAAAAGAAGTCTTAGGAGCTAAGGAATAATGATCTAAATCTGACGTCTTTTTACTCTTCTCTTGCCCCTAACGAACTCACACGTGCTTTTGCGTGCATATATGTGTCAGCAGAATTAGTCTAAACCAGAACAAAATATTGCAAGGACTGCAAAAATAATGTCAAATCAAAAGTTGAATTTCCGCCTTCCTCATGGAAATGATAAACAGATGTCGTCCTTACTGCAGTTTGATGTTGCAAGACTGAGTTGTTTGGAGTCAGCAAAGGGCCCTGATCTTCTCTAGTGGGGGATGTGTCACGATCTGTATGTGTTTTTGAGGAAGGTGGTTGTTATTTACTGATACAGTCCTCTGAAAGTGAGCCTTTACAATGTAAATGTACTGTAGAGCATGGTCTGAGATCAGTAAGGGAATTTAGGTACATTGCTGTCACAGCTTGCTTTCTTCCTTTAAAGAAAACTTATTTTCAATGTTGTTTTTTATTACTGCTTGAATTTACTGCAAGGTGGTATTTGGAATGTGATCTGGGCCCTCTACCTGGGATGCTTGGCCCTCATAAGATACATCCTGTGAGAACTGGGGTAAATTATGAACCCAGTAAAGGTCCCAGAATCAAACGTCAGACTGTGGGGTCGGTCTGCGTGCTTGGCAAATAGGAACAAGAATAAAATACTATGCACTGATAAACATTTTTTCCTTTTTTTCTGGAGAGAAGACAAACCTATAAATCAATTTCTTCTGTTTGTCAAGGAAGTCTGTTGTTTTCCCCATCCTCTAATGAGAGAGAGGTCAAAGTCACATGCAGCAGGCTCTGTCTCACAGCCTGTGTCCTGTAGTTACAAGTGTAGTTTAACTATTGGCCAGCATGTGCACAAATACCTTTGGGCTCTCAAGAGCATTCTTGCTTCTCTTAACAGTCCAGAAGATTCAAGTGTGTCTCATTGCTTGTGGTATGTTAAACACATGCTGAAGGTATCATACCTTGGGGTAATCTGTGTGTGCACAGATGCAAAACTTGAGAAATACATGATGACTTTATTTTTGATTACTGAATCTTAAGTTTAAAATTGCTGTAGGTAGACACGGTTGCTGAGACTCCTAAAGTTGCTGTGGTTCCTTTCATTTCAGACAAATCAACCTTTCAGTGATTCACCAGTATGTGGATTACCTGGTAAGCAAGCAGAATGTGAAGAACATCTTTGGTAAGTTTTTTTTATTCCCCACAGGAAGTGCATAATGTTCCTTTTGCCTGGAGAGCAATCCTGTGCTGCCTAGCCTCATAGGAGCTGGAATGGGAGGGAATATGGATATGAGGTCATCACTCATGTTTATATTCACCACTGGAGAGAGTGTAAACAGTACTTAAAGATCTGGTTTTACCTACAGCCATCTCTGTGCAGGGTAAAATAAGTATTGCCTTCATACAGTGACTTCCCAGCAGTGATGGATAATACTGTATTTGAAAGAGAAAACTCAATTGAGTGATTCTTCCCTTTTCCTGAGTAGGATATAATCATCTGACTTAAAAAAAGTTCACTCAGGAGTCCAGAAGTTCCAAAGGGTTCATCAAAGCCAAGTGAATTTCTGTGTGATGCACTGTGTGATGCAACAGCAGCCGCTGCTCTCTCTTGTTCCCCTCTCTGAGAGATGGCTGGATAAGTGACAGAGCATCTGATAAACCATTTCTGTTCGTAGCCTTCTGTAGTTAAGTAAGCTGAAGTCAATGCTGAGATTTCTGTTCAAAATTTTAGTCAAAAGAGGTTCATAATGGAAACTGGAGCATGGCAGTGACTTCAGCAGCCTCAGTTTAATCTATTTTATTTTAATTTTGTGACTGAGCATACTGACATTTCCTTGTTTCCATTAGGTGTTAAGCCTCAGATACGTGGTTCCACTTCATGACAGAATCACCAAATTTCAGTTCAGACTTTTATCTTGTAGTGAAAGAATGACTGTTCCCTTGCTGAGTATCCTTCATGCACTTGACATTTTGCTGGGTGAAAGAGGTAGCACCTGTTGGGAGGACATGGGACAGTTTCAGCAGCCGGCTTTGTCTCCTTACTCTTACAACTGCTGATGCTGAAACATGCTTTAGACACAAGCATTTAGCGATGGCAACACTGTAAACTCCTTGCAGATGCTCGTGCAGACTGATGTTGTCTTAAAATGGATTGAGGGAAATATAATTCTGCTTAATATCATCAGAATTGTCAGTACTTTTCTTCAGCATAACCAATGTATTGGGCCAGATCTCAACAGCTATGTTGTGTTGTAACAGTGAATGGCACCACAGGAGAAGGCCTGTCCCTTAGCATCCAGGAGAGGAAGCAGTTGGCAGAAGAATGGATGTGCCAAGGGAAAGACAAGTGAGTGGCTGAGAGAGAGCCGGGAATTCCAGATCTCAAGTTATGGTACTGGCATACCTGATTGCAAAGCCACATTTGCTGATAACCTTTTTTTTTTCTTTGAGTATTTTCGTTGTTGAGCTTTGTTCCCCAGCTCTTTTGTCATAGAAGCCTGCTTTTTTGTAGTTGCCAGATAGATAGTATCCATTTCCACTCAGCTCAGCGCTTGTAAGAGTCCTTTTTGCTACACCGAAGGGTGGACAGATAAAAACCCTGGAAACTCCCTTGGCAGGAGCAGTCTTTTAATTTATCCCACTGAAGTTCTTAGTCTGCGTCACTTCCTAGTTTAAACTGGTTCCTTTTGGCAAATGGGTATGTTTTGTCGCTGCTGAAACCTGCTCAAACCTTCTGAATTTGTTGTTGTGCAGGCTGGATCATGTGATAATTCACGTGGGAGCTTTAAGTCTACTGGAGTCCCAAGAACTGGTGTGTATATGATAAGATTTCTTTCCACTATGTGCGTAATAAATATAAAAGCAGATGTACCTTCAGGTATTTATGATTCCTTCTTTTGTAGGCCAGACATGCAGCAGCCATAGGTGCCAGTGGCATTGCAGTAATAGCTCCCTCCTTCTTCAAACCCACAAACAAAGGTGAGTAGATGTGACTGCCAGACCTCCCGAGGCCCTTTTATGCTGTCCTCAAACCATTAACAGTGTTTCACGGCAAAAGCCAGCTCCAGTCCATGAGAACCAGTGATGATAATACCGCTCCTTGTAGAGCAAATGTGGCTTTCCTCTGAGCAATAGGGGTATTTTCAGCTGCTTGCAAGGTGTCTCTTCCAATTCCTACATTTTAAAGGATATTCTCTAAGGCTAAGCATTTGAGTTGTGCATTAATCCTCTCTCAGAGCTCTCCTGTGTACTGTTTTCCTTCTTTGTAAAATGTGCTGGTTATAATGTTTGCACATCTGTGATGTGCCTGGTACCATACAAAAGCAAAACCTAGGACAATCTTTTTAAAAATGGGAAGTACCAAATATTTCACAGCAAGAAGTGGGAGGGATGTCTTTCGAGAGAGTAGTCAGCTTGTCTGTCTTCTGAATAGTCAGTACTGAAGTCACACTTGCTCTGGGCTATGCTAGAAAGAATTCAGATCCATGATCACCTTCAGTGGACGCTGACCAACTCAATGAGCTGTAGATACAGCCACATCCACTGTCACTGAGGTGATGAGGTTTGTGAGTTGGCATGCCTAGCAGGGTTATCTGCCCTTTGGTTCTCAAAACTTAGAAACCGAGTCTTTAGCTTTTAACATAACTAATGTAAGATTAAAAAACAAAAACAAAACACATATCACATGGAGGTTTGGAACAGAAACGTTTTGTTTGAGTGGTTTATGAATGGAATTGTACATCACCAAATTCACAATTCCAAATGGAATTGTGCACCAAAAGAAACAGGAGTGGATTGCCAGGAGGCTGGTATCAATGGCCAAGGACACAATCAGCAGCAACTGAACTGGTAAAAACACAGAGGCACAAACAGTAGAAGACATTTGCAGTGATTGCAGTAAGATGACAGCAAGGTTTCAACACAGAGTTTTTTGGCATTCCTCTTCCTTCTAATGCCAATGCGAAGATTGCCTCAGAATTATGAAGGATGCAATGAAAAGATTCTCAGGAAGAAAGAATGTCAGCTGAAACCAGATTGGCTCAGAATAAATATGACCTTTCCTGAGGTCTTTCATTAAGGACAGTTACAATTTATTTTTGTGATGTGTGCAGGTTTATATGTTATTGGCTATGTACATTCCACAAGCTATGAATGGTTGTTCCACAGTCCCTGGCTGCTGTGAATTTGAACTTCCCTTCACTTGATCCTTTTCTTCCAGATGAACTCCTTGGTTTCTTACAGAAAGTTGCATCCGAAGCCCCTACAGTTCCATTTTATTACTACCACATTCCAGCTCTGACGGGTGTAAAGAGTAAGTACTGCTTAGTCAGCTCTTCTTGAGCCCCTAAACTCTTTTTCTTCTTGATCTTGTAAAAGGAATGTTTCAAAGTATTCAAAAATATGTTTTTAATGTAACTTTTATGTCACTCAAGTTGTCTTGTAGTTGTTTTAAAAGGTGTGTAGTTTACCAGGCTTAGGCCAAAAGTGGGTAATCTGTAAAATAAAAGTCTAGCTCTTAGGGAAGAGACAGGGAAATCTCCCAGAACAGGGCTGTGCTTCTTCATGTGTGGTTGCTGTTATGCACAGTTCGTGTTGAGGAGTTGCTGGATGGAATAAGAGAGCAGATCCCCACCTTCCAGGGTGTGAAGTTCAGCGACACAGACCTCTTGGACCTTGCACAGTGTATAAACAAGAATGAGAGAGAACAGTTCATGTTCCTCTATGGAGTAGATGAGGTAAGAGGCTCCTTTTAATGATTTATTCTAAGGTATTCTCTTGTTTCAGCCTTGAGGAAAAAAATAACCCTGAACATACAGTGTCAGGTAGTTTTGCTGTCCTCCTCACTTTTTTTTCTTTCCCCTTTTCTTTTGTTAATTGAAGTAAAAATTTTAGAATCATAGACTCATTAAAGTTGGAAAAGGTCTCTAAGATAATCTAGTCCAACCATCCACCTACCACCCACATTGCCCACTGACCACATCCCCGTGGGCCAAGGTCCTCCTCCCTTCCTGGATGTCCCAGGGGGTTTCTCTCTTCTTGAAAGTGCATCTATGATTATTTATTTAACATTCTCTTTCTCCTCCTAAACTAGCAACTGTTGAGTGCACTGGCAATAGGGGCAAATGGAGCAGTTGGAAGGTCAGTATTGCTTAAACTTTTCCCTCTCCTACACACATCTTACTGTTACATCCTCCTCTGTCTATGGGGTGTTTCTGTAACTGTTCCTCTCTCACAGAGGGTTCTTCAGGGTAAAGCTGCACAGTACAAAGCAGACAGACAAGATAGCATTGGGATAGTTTTATTATCTGGGATAAGGGCATAATATACCTTAATTATAGTTTAAGGGATTATTGCTGCAGTCCATAAGCAAACACAAAGGTTTCAGCATACTTTTTTTGAAATAGGGAATCACTCCTATCTTCATTGTATTGGTAAGGAACCAAAACCCAGGCAGATTAAAGTCATTTACTTCAGTTCACATTATAAGTCTGTGGGCTCTTCGACAGTTTTTGCAGCTTGGTTTCTGATTTCACTTCTTCCTTTTGTACTGGGCTGCTGGGCTTCTTAAACGAATTCCTGTATGACACCCATGGTTTTGTGTAGACGATCCATTAAGTGAATTACTATCTAGAATGTTAGTATTCAGAGCCTAATTATTTATTTTTACTTATACATTTTAAAAACAATTCCCTTTTGAAAGAACTTGGCAGAGAAATCTGATCTCCAAACTACTTCATAGGCCTTGCATACTTCTGGTGCTTTTCTGTTAACAGCACTTAGCAGCAGGAAAGTAACAGGCATTCTGATAATGTCAGCAGAGAAAGCCAGCAGCTACTTTGTTTCAGTGGTTCTAAGCTCTTATTCCACATTTTCTAACTTTGTGGCTTTATTAATTTAATGTACTTACTTTTTTTTTGACAGTACCTACAACTACCTAGGTAGGAAAACCAACCTGATGCTGCAAGCTTTTGCAAAGCCAGACCTTGCATTAGCACAGAAGTACCAGGTACAGTATTTTGCTGTCCCCACAGAGAGCACCCTTGTTTCTCCTCTACCTGCACTGGGATGTGCTCTGTGTCTTTTTGTCATCTGTGCCCTGACATGTATCCCTGCTAAAGCAAACTGCTTTCAGCTCCAGCCCCCTGCTTCCTATTCATAACATGAACATATACTTACCCTGAGCACGCTGGTTTCATTTATGCAGAGCAAACAATGGCTTGGCCTTTTGCCTTGAGCAGGCCCCACAGTAACTAAAATTCTTGGCTAGGCATATTCTGATACCTTACAAGATGTAATACAGAAAACTCTCCCAAACGTGCTCTGCCCTGACCCCTCCTGGACTTGGGCTGCACGAACGTTTTGGAGGAGTTGTGAGCAACCAGTATGCAAACTCTACTCAATATCTTTATGTCTCGCTGGGACATTTGATGCTTCCTTTTTTTTTTTTTTTTTTGCCTTAAAAGATATGTGGCTGCAGGATGAATGTAAAAAAGCCCAAACACCTAAAGAATGATCTGCTCTGGGAAATCTCTTCACTAGGCAGTGGATGTTCAGCTTGGTAAACCCCCCCGAGCCTGCCACAAGACTTACCACTATTTAAAGACTGCTTGCATTGAGGGGCAGCTTGAGCTTTAGTAATAGAATGAGTCTAATGTTTTTTTAATATTTCACTCTCTCACCTATTCCAATGGAATAGAGTTATTATTTCACATGTTTGCTGCCATTTCACATGATTGCATGCTTGCTGCCCAGGTAGCTGTAGTGGAAAAGATAAGTCATGTCTTGAAGCAGTGATTGAGCACCTGGCAGGAAGGCAGGGCCAACACAGGGGAGCTCAGGTACAAGCAATGCACCTCATTTGAGGTTCCAGGCCTCATTTAAGGTTTGGTGGTAGAGATAAGGCTGTCTTTTTGAGGGTCCTGCCTACCTGAAGCTTTTTGAAGGTAAGCAGGTTTCCTTTATTTCTGTGCCTATGACTGTTGCATCTGAGCAAATCCTCACTTACTGTTGCCTGGGACCTTGCTGCTCTGTTGTTGTTGCTGTGCTTTCCTCATGTTACAGTGACGAAAGACTTTTCTCAAAGCAGTGTAGCAATGGTATAAAATGTAAATATCATTATGGTTCTATATGCTTCTACTTCTTTAAATTTGAAGGAATGGTTAAACTGTTGTTTGTCTCTTTTAGTTTCTCACGGGGGAATTTCTCAGTTTTGTCATCAAACTAGGTAAGTTCTATACTGCCCGTATCTGTTGTTATATCTTAACATGCAGACTCAGTACTCCAGGGACGCTGTACCCTAAGAGTTTCCTTCCTGAAAGATTTCACAATGAGAAACTGCTACTTATGCAGCTTCCTGAGTTGATAGCTGACCAGGCATCCCTGAGAGATCTCACTCTCACTTCCTTCTGTGAAATTTTACTGTTTTAAAGCTGTGATTTACTTTCTTTTCTTATCCTGACTGTGGTGTCTTTTTGTTTGTCGTTTTTTTTTAGTCTCCTAAAGCCCATTGGTAGTGTTTGTTAAGAGTCACCTCTCTGGAATAGTGGTGCCCAAGTAGGGGAATGCAGCTCTCATATTTGTTTCTTATGCTGCTCTATAATTTAGAGTAACTGCTTGAGGATGTACAAGGCCAAAGCATTTTCAAATTGTATTGATTTTTAGAAATTAAGTTTTAACGTGAAAAGCAATTAAAACCAACTAAACCAGAGTCTTGTAGAGAGGCTGAATAAGATGTTTCAAAATGATCACCTGGTGAACAGAACCATCTGCTGTGTTTTTGCTATACGTGTTTTGTAAGTACTCCAATGAATCCAACTGAGCTTTCAGGTTAGAACTAAGAGGAAATGCATCATCACTTAGTCTTACAGGTTAAGAAGCAAACACCCAGAGTATATAGGGAGACTTGATGTACAGGCAGGTAGGCATCCTGAAGTTTCCCTTGGTAGTTGAAGCTACTGCCCTGCTGTCACCATCACATGCCAACAGGATGTTATCATTCCCAGGGCTCTATTTCACATGAATGCTCCATAGGTTGTGTCAGGGATAGCTGTGAGGCTGCAAATGTTGAAGACAGAGAAGCAATTGTCTAAGATGGTACTTTGATTTGGTATCAGCAGGAGGGAAACAGTAGTAGTATAAGACATGTAATAACTAGGTGCAGTTTTTGCTGTAATGTCTTTCCTGCCTGCAAGCACAATCATCTCTTTGTTATGCTGTTCTCACTTCTGGGAGGTGCTTCAAGCCCAGTTGATGCCATATGACACAGGAACTGTGTGCTGCTGCTTTTTGACTTCTGCACAGAGACTGGTATGTGTGAAATAACCTGATCTTGCTTTTGTCTGCGCAGGTTTTGGGGTTGCACAGACAAAAGCTGTAATGACTTTTGTTTCTGGCATCCCCATGGGACCTCCACGGCTTCCACTTGTTAGTGCCTCTGAGGAATTCATTGCCAAGGCCAAAGCCAAGCTGGAGAGCATTGTGTGGCCCGATGGTGACTGACTTCACTCCCACGTCGGTGTGCAGGGGCTCCTTTTCTGGGATTTGCTGTCACTTGGCATGCTCCTCATGCAGTGCCCTGGTTTGGCTGGGATCTCCTTCAGGAAAATGAAAGTAATCGGCGTGGAAGGGCTGGCACACATGTAGCCAGCCACCTGTTCTTTAACTTCTCTCTGCTCCTCTGGAGCTCTGCACTGCCCAGCACTGGCTGCTATCATTAAACAAACAAATGAAAAAAAAGACAAAAACAAACAAACAAAAAAACCTGGTTTGTTCCAGCAGGGGTATCCTGACCTCCTTTTGTCTAGAAAGAAAGGTCTGTTTGCACTGCCCCAAACAGGAGTGGAAACAACTTTTTACAAGGGTAGGCAGTGATAGGACAAGGGGGAATGGCTTTAGCCTCAAGGAGGGTAAGTTTAGACTGGATGTCAGGAGGAAGCTCTTCACAGGGAGAGTGGTGAGGTGCTGGAACAGCCTGCTCAGAGAGCTCTGGATGCTCTGTTCTTGGGGGTGTTCAGGACCAGGTTGGATAGGACCCTGGGCAGCATCTGGTCTGCTACCAGATCTGGAGGTTGGCGGGCCTGTCTGTGGCAGGGGGGTTGGAATTTGGTGATCCTTGGTGTTCCTTCCAACCCAAGCCATTCTATGACTCTGTTTTATCTCTCCCTGAGCGTCTCAAGCCCTGGGGTGTCACTGCTGTACCACAACCTGCCTGCTCAGGCTGGTGTTCTGCTGTTTCTCACCAAGTCATTTGTACATTGGTTGTGTCAAATCACTGTTTACCTCCTCTCATTGTCTTCGCACATCTTCACTTCCTGCAAAATTTAAGACAGAAGAACCTAAACCAACCCTTTTCTAACATCTGTTGACTCTCCAATGAGCCATGGTCCTGCAGCCGTTTCCTTGTAGCCCAAATGTTTGGCACATCTATGACCCCTCACGACACAGCCCTGCCATGGGATGGGTGCTCTCCTGTGGTGGTGGAGCCTTCCCTGACCACTGCCCAGCTCTATTCTGCACCCTGAGTGGGAGGGTTCACTGTGGGTTGGCTGCTGGGCAGGGGGGCAGCTGATGTTGTGGGCCCTGGAGAGAAGTGAGCTCGATGTGTTGGGTGGGAGGACGGTCCCTTTGGGGCTTTGTGACAAGACCCTCAGGTGGGGACCTGGGGTAATCCAGTGCAGGCATCTGGGAGCTCTAAGGGTGAGTGAGAAGTGAGCTAAACCACTTTGTCAGGCATGAAGCAGCCTGTTAAAAGCTGCTGGTGTGAGACTGGGTCATAAAGAACTACAGACATCTGTTGAACTTATGCTGAAACGTATTAAATTCCACTGGGTTGGCATCTGCTCTGTGCGCTGCTGGGCTGATCCTGGCTCCTGGGGTCCTGCACGTGCTGCTGGGGAGCCAGGCTTTGCTGCTCTACAGGCAGAATAGCAGAGCTGCTGCTCTGAAGCATCAGTTCTGTTGATGAAGTTGCTTGTTGCTAACTGTAATGACGTGGAGCAGCAGCAGAGGACGCACGAGCTCGCTCCTGACCTTGTCTGAGGGTTTGAGATGGAGGATGTGGGGAGTGAAGCTGCGCGGTTTGCTGCTGCCTTTTGGTAGAATCCCTGCCTACGCCTCTTGGTGTTGCTCAGTGAGGTTTTGCAGTACAATCCTACTCTCTGAGAACGAACTGCAGCGCTTCCTTTCATAGATACGAAGGATTTTCTGGCCACAACTTATACATGAAAAACCTATGGGAACGTGCATCTATCTGTCTGCGTAGCTATATATATACACAGTGGTATGTGGTAATGTTTGGTAATGTTCTCTGGTACTTTTAGCAACTTAAATTTAGCACTTGTATATTACTTATTGGTTTTCAAGGCAATCTACCCTGCACCCACAGCAGATCAGCAGTTCTGTTTGCAGCTCTGGGTGAAAGGCTTAAACGACATTGCCACGGACAATTCCACCAGCAAGAGAGATGTGCAGAACAGCACTGCCAGAGACCTTGTCACTTGCTTGATTTGGGTGAATGACATGAAGATGGATGTGTTCATAAAGAGTCTTTTGGATTTTCCTGGATGTGAGATACAGCCCAGTGTTTGTTAGCTTTCCCTAGCTGCCAAAACAGTCAATTCTAGAATTGCTGAACTTCAGCTACTTGTTGGCTGGAAATCTTTTTATAGAGCACTCAGAAAAAGCCAAGTATTCAGCTCTTCTCTTTCTTTCAGTTTTTAACAGGGCTTTACTCCTGGGGATTATTACTAGGGCTTGCTACTACATAATGATGCACGATCTCTCTAAGTACCTGAGCAGTCTTTTAGCTAAACAGTAAGAAGCTTTACCCTATACAAGCCTGCTGATAATTCCCTTCATTCTCTCTTCTGGTCAGAACTGGTTCAGGTTCTACAGAGGTAGAATCTCTTCCTCAACATTTGAGGCTGAAGTAGGTAAGGCTGTGAAAACTCCAATTTACAGGTATGTGAATATCATATATATATCCATGAAAATTTGGGTGTTTTAGCTTTTTGTTCCCCCTCAAAATAGCATGATTGTGCACAGAGAAAGCAGTTAGGAGTCCTTGTCCTTTTGTGACAGAGGTGTGAATGACAAAATTGAGTTCATCCTGGACTTCCTGGGGTAAGAAAAGGATAATTTTTCTGTGGGGACCATATTTTGTGCTGTTGTCCTTTTGTAGAATGAATTGTTGGTTTTCCATTTGTTTTAGGTTTGATAGAGGTTATGTACTTTATCTTGCAGTCTATCCATAGATTTTTCAGTATACTTTTCCCGTTTTTTTGTAGGATGTTTTGTCTACCAGCACTGCTGAAACCAGCATCACCACCAATTATGTGGTCTATGTCATAGACTTCTACGAGTGAGCCCTGCGAGTGAAATAGCCTTTTGTTTTGTAAATCCTGTCCTTTGGAATGCAAAAAAGGGTTTTCTGACCACACAGAACTGCCTTGTATTCCCACAATCCCAGAGCTGAATTTGAGGACTCTAGCTCACTCAAGACAGATTTGCATTGTCTTTAGCTGCTCAGCAGAGTTACAAACCGCCCTGGCATCTCAGTGGGCTGCTTTTGGTCATCTGCATTCATGCTGGCACCGTTCATGTGAGGTGTCACCGGGTCTCCGTGCAGATTGTAAATACGTAGTGTGCCAAATGGGTGCTCCGAACACACAGCATGCAGGTGATGGAAATTAGGAAGATTGTTGTAGTCTGCTGCAGATCCCGTCTTGCTGTGCATGAGCTGTGAGCAAATTACACACAGGAATCTCACTAATCGCATTAGAATTTGGAGCGTTTTGAGAGAGTTCTGAGCATTTCATTCTGTATATAGCTTGGAGCACTGCTTTATAAATAGTGCTATGTTTGGTTTGCAAACAGATGGCTAAGTAGCCAAAGCTTAGCTAGTCAAGCAGGGATGGTTTGCTTCTTAAAAGCAGTGTGGCTGCAGGGAATAAAGTAAGAGCTGGTTTGGCAGGACTTAAGATGTTGAACATCAGATCTTCTGCTTCGCTCTGTAACAGATAAAAAGTGAAGCTGTTCTCTGCTCACAGTAACATCAGTCTGAGCATCAAAAACTATTTTGCAGCAGCAGAAAAGAGCAGCAGGACATATGCGTGCTGGGTTTTGTTTCCATTTGTGTGACAGAACTCTTGAAAGCAAGGCTGTGCCCTTCAGAATTAAAATAACCATGGAGAGTTCTCCAAGAACTGTTGCATGCTACTTCTGATCTAACTAGGAAAATAAAGTCAGGAAGCACAGACAGGAAATGCAGGAATTCTTGGCTATCTTGGTTCTTTTGCTTTAGAAACATATATGTGTTTATATGCTTTTACCCATAGTAGGAAGTCGAGAGAGTTCATGATCTTATTATTAAGAACTTTCCTGTGAACCTGAAGAATCTCTCAGGAGAAAATGTAATGCTGCTTGAGAACTGAGGCAGAAAAGAGCTTTGGAATGAGAGTAAGGCCCTCAAACATTCCTTCAGATGTTGCAAGCAGCTGGATTTTTCACATAACACGCAATTTTGTCATGAAGGTGGTAAAATCCAGGCAAGACAGATGTTCTTTTCCCTCCACCCCCATTCTGTGGTCAGGAACACTGCTGAACTGCTGCTCAAAAACCTTCCCTGCTGCTGAGGCTTCTGATTCCTCTACTGGCCAAACTGTCTCTCAGTCAGTAGAGCTGTGGAAATCTTTTTGCCAGCTGCAGAAGTCTACACAGCTGTTACTCTCTGGTCCCCCTCATGAAAGCAAGCCCCTTTCTCAGGGAACAGACAGAGCATAGCTGTGTTTGGGTGCTCAACTTCATGCATGTGTTGCATCCACAAATGTGTGTTTGGGCACTCAACTTCTAAAAGCATCAGTTGCTCCAAAACTTTCCTCACATTCTATGATTATTTCAGATTTAGTCTAGTAGATCTCATTCTAGTACAGTGTAGTAATTGTAAGTCAGAATGTTTGACAGTAGGCTACTGATTTTAAGATTATCTTCCTGTAGAAAATACAGAAACAAAATATGCTAAATTCATGGTGCTGGGAAGGAGACTGTGTGTGTTTTGTGGATTTGTGCAGAGAAATATCAACTAAATCTGATACCATCTCAATGTCAAATCTGTTTGAGGTGTCCTGGAAACTTTTCCAGCTGTCTGCTACTCAATGTGATCATTCCTATAAGTTCCTATTTCAACCAGCAAGCTAAGTGTCTGTTGACAATACCATGCCAAAGAGAGATAAATACTTCAGAACTCTCTAACAGGTCCCTGAGATGAGAACTGAGAAGAATGGAAGGCTAGAAGAATGCAGTGAGAAATGATGGAGTGGCTAGGAAGCAATATTTGCTTTGAGAGGCAACAGTTGATGCTGATGGAATGACCCATGTTGGTCATCAGAGAACATGTTCAAAAAATGTGGGCTTTTTGGTTCTCTTCTCATTCCTGACTTAAACTCATATGATACCTGAGCTGTTTTGAACATGCTTTTGTGAAACACCCTCAGGAAACTGGTCGCTTTTTGACTAAACAATAGAACCACCACCTTTGGGTGCTGGGATGGAAACTGAACGCTCACTAAGTGGTACCACTGTTTGCTCACAAGGCTGTGTGTTAATGAAGGTGAGACTGAGTGATTTCCCATGTATAGTGATCACTTACAAACTGCTTTAACTTCTTTCTTGTAAGCTTGTTTCTGTAGTAGCATGCTGACCAAAACAGCAGGGTGTTTTTTGGAGGCATTGTGTGGGTGGCAGTGTCTTCTTGCAGCTGAAGAAATATTTGAATTCCCAGGTGGAGCATCTTTCCTTTAAGAAACTTGAGCCTTCGAACTTAAGGCTTGTTTTGTTACCAATGACTTCTGCTAGCTTCCAGCTTCCTGTTTTCCAGCTGTGGCACTGTTGTGTATTACACAGACACAGTCCAATGCCTAAGGCATTTACAGACCTACTATAAAGCCACTAAAAAGAGGGTTTAGTAGGCTTCTATATAATTACTGCTTTCCACAGTTTGTTAACCTGAGATTTCAATGTTTTGTTGAATAATTAAATCTCCAGTTTCTGAATGTGCGAGTGTCAGTATCCTCCTAAAACAGAAGAAATGGAGGTGGGAGTTAGGCAGTCTGTCCAGTTTCTCCATATGGAAAATGAATAAGATGAAACAGAGAGGAGCATGACATTTATGCTTTGGATTTAAAGCAATGATCACAGACCTGAGCATTCTTTGTAAATGTCACTGAATAAGCATTTCGTAGCAATTTAAAGTAATTTGAAGTATTTGTTTGATGGCTTTTATGGGGAAAAAATATGTAAAGAGACTACAGTGCTTCTGTATAGAAAAGAGACCAGAATTAAAAAAAAAAATCTCTAGGATGTTCAAGTTTAATCATGGAATCATAGAATGGCTTGGATTGGAAAGGACCTCCAGGATCATAAAGCACCAACCTCCCTCCAACACGCAGGGCCACCAACCTCCACATTTCATACCAGCCCAGGCTGCCCAGGGCCCCATCCAACCTGGTCTTGAACACCTCCAGGGATGGACGGGGCATCCACAGCCTCTCTGGGCAGCTGTTCCAGCACCTCACCACTCTCATAGAGTAGTGACATCCAACCTCAGTCTTCCCTCCTTAATCTTCCCCTTAATGACTTTGTGACTTAAATGTTAATTCTCTTACTTTTCTTATAATAAATGCTTTTCTTTAGAATTTTTAGACCAACAGATACTAAAAAATGCATTTGATAATGGCTAAGGAGTCCATTATATATTTGGTTTCCCATTTTACTGCTGACACAATAGATGTAAGTTGTCTAATTACACTGAAGTTTCCCAAAGTATATGATGGCTCAGTCTGTAGAGTATGCAAACAGTATGTTAGCAATTTTCATTTGTTTCTTACGAGTTTCTGAAGATCACTTTTGAATAGGTTTTCTTTGGTATGCAGACTTGAGAGAGGGAAAGAGAACAGAAGGGAGCACAGAATTGTGAAGTGGAGTGTGATGATGGTGATCAAATCTCCACATGGAGATGGACCTAATCTGCAATCTCCATAACTTAGTTAAGGAAATCCAGGGGGCTCTTCCATCTGCAAAGGAAACAGCCACTGCTGCCGGTGGTTTCATAGCTTAAAGGTTGAACTCGAGTGAAAATGTTTGGATTACGGAGGGAGAGAAAGGAAGACAAATGCTGTGTATAACCTCATGGAAGGAAGACTTTATGTTGTTCTCTTTCTGATGAACAGAGGGTTTTGTAGTTTACCAACTGTACTGTTAGCTACAGATGACTGTCATGGGGCTGCTTTGGTTTTGTGAGGCAGAAATTGGGTTAGATGAATTTGATCAAATTTAGAGACTTAAAACACCTGCAATTAATAGTGTAAAAAAGGTTTGTACAGAAGCAAACTAAAAAGAAAAGGAAAAATATGTAAGTGAATCAAATAGTGATTAGCTTATGGAAGAGGTAATAAAACATCCATGAGTATAAATATGTCTGTATTCTTAGTTAGAATAATGCTTATTCTCAGAAAATCAGATAAGCATTATTGCCAACACTGCACTTAAACATAGATGAGGTTCTATATTAATTCAGTCATTAAAATTTTGAATTTCTTATGTAAAGATTGCTTGGATAATTGTCTTTGATGGTAAGAGATCTTGTAGAGCTTCATGCCCTGGATTCCAGCAGTGAGCTGACATCTCTTGGAAGAATCCTACCAGCCTTCCCATTGAACCACTTGGCAAGATGATGACAACAGGATGTAATTTTAGTAAGTTTAATGGCTTTGTTCCTCTGAGCTCTTGAGCCTCTAGAAGAGCAATATACAAAAGAAAAAGCAGTACATCCAGATGAGCAATAAATGCTACAACTGGAAATAAAAACCTGAATATTGATGAGATCAGAAAATAAATAACTTTTTGTATAGGGAATAAAGTAGTTGTGAACTGAAAGGGTGAGTGGAGTGACTGAAACAGACCAGTAGAAGCTGAATATTTATGAAGCAAGAGTGGGACTACAAATACTAAGTGCAGTGGTAAGGTAGAGATAGAGGGATAGGAATTTTGAGACCTGTAGAGATAGAGGGATAGGAATTTTGAGACCTAGACAGGACAAACAATGAATTCACACATTTTATTTTGACAGAAGACCTGTTGCTTTTAACTGTGATGGCTGCGGGGTCATTTTCACCCAAAGAAGATGGTGGAAAGACCTAGAGATGGTTGGAAGAAGATAGACAAAGTATGCAGCAAGTGAAAAAGCAGAGAAACACCACACTTGTGAACACCAAGAATTTAGCATGGCTTAAGAACGGTTTAGGTAGAAAAGGTGCAGCTGAAGGGTATGTATTCAATCTGTCTGCCCAGAAAGTGAGATTCTATTTGGACATAGTGATTTAATGAGGGTGATTTTCATTCAGGGATGAGAAATAAACAGGATAATCTGAGATGAACACACAGGCAACGAAGTGTGCCTTAAAGAGCTTCTACTTTTACAGCTATGTTGAAAAATGTTTTATGTTTTAAAGCTATGGTGAAATTACAGTGCTGCCTCATTCTCATTATTGTCTACCAGACAAAAACAGACAAGCTGTGATGGCTGAGATGCAATACAGGGAGGTTTTGGAGGCTGAGGCTAGGCCAGAAGGATTGAAAATATGTTGATTGATTGTCCTTAGAGAGTAACCTCCCTGGTTTACTGTTCTTCACTTGCTGCATCCCCAAAATGTCCTCTCTAAGTGCTGTGTTTCCTGGCTCCTTGGTATTAGCCTTAGGGAATCTGTGTGTTGTAAACATTGTGCTGTGTGTCTTATGATTTTTTGCATTTGTGCCACAGCAGAGATGTGCAGTAATGTTTTATTCAATTACTCAGTTTTCTAAAAGTGCCATTTTAAAACTGTTTCTTAAAGATGACCAGGTTCTGAATTTGCTGCAGCTCCCTGCAGCCCGAGGAGCCTGCTTATTTAACTGACATGGCTGGCTGAATTCAGCAGATGCTTGTCTCTCTTAAAAAAAAACAAACCAAACCAAACAAACAAACAAACCATTCCTTTAATATTATTTCTCTCTTTACACTGCTAGAATCATTATTGCGTTTATCCTTAACCTTTTTTTTTTTCCTTTGGGCAAGATGACATGAAACCAAGCCACCAGAGAATCTGGGGAAGTTCATAACAAACGAAGTAATGAAAACATTCTGACCTCCCCCAAACGATCTGTCTCCAAAACAAATGACAGGAAACACACTGTGGTACAGCACATTCTGGGCAAACCTCTCGCTTCTTGTTTTTGAAGAGCTTGGGAGAGAAAAATACTTCTTTGTAGTAGTATTTTTCAGCTTTTTGCTACCCATGAATTAATTGGAAACTGAATGTAGAGCTGAAATGCTCTGAGTGCAGAGGTTATTTAAGAGTAGATGCCCATCTGCCAGCTGATTGAATCAGAAAACGCATTGATCCGGGATCCTAAACAACTGCTGTGCTGTCCTACATGACCTGTGGATGCTAGCCAGCCTTCTGCTCTCTGTCAACAGAATGTTTGATGACTCAACCATTTAACAGCACTGGACCAGATAATCATCTGGATGTTGTAATATCCTTGCTTGCTTTTGAGGTCTACCCCAATGTCTGCTATCACAAGGAGAAAAGGAGAATTCGTACTGCTGAGGGGCATTACGTGCTCAGCCACACATCACCTGTCAGCAGACAGGACAGGAAGTGTCAGCCGCCTTTCTTCATGGTTGGACAATCTTGGTTTGATGCTTGGGATTTCCACAGGTGTAATTCAGAACTGTGGTGAGGCTTCACTTCTGTCCCAGCTTAGCCAGAACTTCAGTTTGCTTCTGTCGTCTGTGTAAAGTGAGCCTTCTAAATAGGCCACAAGACTTTTGAACTCAAAATACTGTGCTTTGTTAAATCCAAGTACACATGGAATCTAAAAGCGATTAAGGTGTTGGCTTAAGAGTGAGTAGGTGAGACTGGGGTGAAGGAATGATTTATTCGCAGCTCTCTTACTACCCACTGCATACAGAGAGCTCCTCTTTGAGGCTTGAATGTCTTGTTTTCTGCTATATTTGGCAGTCTCTGATCTGCAAGTTCATTGCTGTTTGTTATGGCCATTCTGCTGTGATTTCCATTCTGGAAGCTTCTCTCTTCTGAGCATGCATAGCAGCTTCTAGCACAGGATCAAATCTCTTTCCTGAAGACAAAAGTAATAGATTGTGCCCCCCCCGCTGATGTGTGAAAGGAGGAGGGAGGCTGCAAACCCTAAGTACTACTCTTCATGTCCTCTTTAAAATGAATGGCAGCAGCCCACGCAGCCAGCGCTGCTGTCTGTGGCTCAGTTGGATGGCTTGTTATTGTCAGAGTGCTCATTTCAAGTCCAAACTTAAGGCCTTGTTTCTACAAAATGGCAAAGTGGGCATCTTTGCATGGACATGTGGCAGCATTCAGATGTGCACATGTGAGACCCTCTTATCATGACTGCCCCAGCAATGCCAGAGGCAGGAAGATAACTCAGCACTGCCTTGGTCCTTTTTAGACTGACAAAAGATGAGATGGCTGTTGCAAAATGTCAGCTGCTTTCACCTTTCATAACTGTTTATACCTTTTAACAGCAAGTAGCTTTGAGCAGCTTTTTTTGTTTGCACTAATCAGTGCTGAATCCCTGTAAACAGCTGCCTGGTGTTTCAATTTGTTTGCATGCACATCATATCTAGATTTTGGTGTGTGCTTTCTTGTTTAGTTTTTGCTTTCCTACATAGCATACATCTTATGAAAGACATCTGAATGTCTCTTTTAAAAGTATTTTTAATTTCCCAATTATTTTTAATTTCCCAAAATGAAGGTGAAGAGTTGCTGGAGTTCAGTTCACTGCTATGCTGAGGGCAGCCTGTAGTTTCTGAAATGCTGAGGTGCTGCATGCTTTTCGTTTACACCGTTTTGTATCTTGCTGTTTTGACACGAAGGATTAAGTGTTAGTGTTACCTAAGTATGCTAAATCTGCAAATCTAAGCAGGAGGATAGCTGATGTTTTAACAATATCATGTTGTAGGGAGCTGGCAAATTTTCCTCCTGAATTTCACGTCCCTCTCGTAACAAATCTAACAGATGAGAATGTAGAGTACTGGATCAGTATGTTCTGCACACGATGGAAGACCAATCGCCAGAGTGTCTTCCATAACAGGTTATCTCCTGGAAGCTGCGATACATCTGATGTCATTCTTTCTGCTCTAGGATCAAACTGAGAGTGCCCCGCACTGGCTGCCTGTGTGTGCTGTGACGGAGATGTTCACTGTGGGAGCAGCTAAAAACCTGGAGATCACTTGGCAGCTGGACCCAGCAGATGAGCAAATGTGGCATGTGATCTATCAGATCCCCAGGCCGCCAGCAGCGGGCATCAACCTCATGGCTACCAATGGAAGGTGAGCTTGACGCTCTGGGGTGGGGGGCACTCAGCACCTCTGCCCCCAGGGACACCAATCCCCCAGACAGCAGCTTTGAGCTGTCAGCTCCCAGCTCACAGAGGCTGCAGAAGCCCAGAGCTAAAATCAGTGGGAGAGGTTTTTTCCAATGCGGAAAAGGAGCTTCAGGCTTTTGTCTGAGCATATGTGAAACTGTTGTATTCAGAGTCTGCTGTAGACAAATCACTGCCTGTTTCCACAGGAAGTATGAATGGCTCTCAGTAATAAAAGCTGTCATCGCCCATTCCAAAACACAATGACTATAAAAGAAAAGATAATCTAGATTTATTTTGGGCAAACCTCTTCATCAGTGTCTCTGGAAATAAAACAAAACTCTTGGCTGTGCTGACACCCCTCTATTGCCCCTTGTTTACACATCTTATGAGGCAAAGGAAAATGAACACACCTGTGAGCTGTTGCTAGTTTAGGAATGAAATGAAGGACAGCTTGCTCCTCCCTGGAGACATTCAAAGCCAGGCTGGATGGGGCTGTGAGCAGCCTGGTCTGGTGGGAGGTGTCCCTGCCTATAGCAGGGGGTTGGAACTAGAAGGTCTCTTCCAACCCAAACCATTCTAAGATTATATGATTCTAAGTCTTTCCATTTTGACAAAAGAACTTGTTTCTTTCCTGAATTGCTTTCTTGCTGTTACCAGTCTGTTTGCCATTTCAGTTACCTAGCACAAATGCAGCTCTGTAAAATATTGTGCTTTAGGGGATTTACTGCAAGTTGTGTGATTTCTTTTTTTTTTTTTTTTTCCTTAATAAAGAATTTGGTTTTCAAGTTTTATGGCCTGTACCTAAATTGTATTTAGATTTTGAAGCCATCTATTGTTAGCTTTGGTTGTAGGAGGTATAAGACATTCTGAAGGAATCTCGTCTAAAACCATTCTCTGCCAAACAAATTTCAAATTACAGAGCTTGGACTCAGTGGGGATTTTTCTTTGTTGTCTAATAAGCTGTGCAAATAGGCCCTGCTGCACTGGTTTTCTGTCTATGCCAAGCAGTACTTCGTTGCTTTGCAGCCACCCACCGTCCTGGTGCATGCTGCGTTGCACTTCACAGCGCAGCAGCTGACAAGCTCTTTCGCTGATTCAGATGGTGTGGGAACACGGGATACCTTTTTCAAGACTGGTGTGATGCTGCTTGTGCCCAGCAAACCTCAAGTGAACTCAGAATTGTGAAGCGTGCCCTTTATCTGAGGCAGTGTTCATTTACATTCTCATTCTGAAATAGTCACACTTCATTATTCCAAAAACACGTGAAAAAGATTTTTTTTTCATTAGGATTCTTTGGATCTGTAGCCTGTGCATTCCAACTGGAGTGCTTATTCGGAACCAGTAATTCGCTGGATTTACGGGGATGTGGGGGGTATTTCAGTGTTTGAGAAACATCTAAAGCAAGTCCAGCATTTTTTGTATTTCTTATTAAGACTTCTTAAAAACTATGTGAAGTTGAAGCACTGTTTTCCTTTAATCAAAACTGTTAAAAGCCAAATAAGACATGGAGCTTAGATGTGTTGCTGTGAATTGCAAACGTCTTTGATGTCGTCGTGTTTTAGTGTTCATCTCTGAACATAAGTCTTACATTAATTTGGAATGTAGATCTTCTGCACTGTGTGGTGTGCTGAACTCCCCAGCCCTGTCTGTTGATGTAGACAAGTGTGTAGGCTGAAGAATGGTTGCTCATGGCTATCACTACTGCTGATGCCCAGCCTGGGGACTGGAACAGCCTTCCAAGAAACCAGAAGAGATGGACATTGAGAGATGTACTGTAACATTAGCCACTTTCTCTTTTCACAGCTATATTTATTGTATCCAGACAAAACTTGCTTCTCTTGGTTTGTCCATCAAACTTTGTCTTATTCCAGTTGGCATTATCACAAGTCTGGAAACCTGAAGCAGATGCACAATGTTCTTAAAGAGAAATAAACTTAGTAATTTCAGTATCAAGTTAACAGGTCTTAAAAATGATCTAATATCTGTTAAAGCTTTCAAATTTTCTCCGTAGCTGTTACTGATCTTCAGAAGAAGTCAGCATTTAAACAAGAGGCAGGAGATGAATGCAAGGTGAGCACAGAACAGCTGTGCAGAGCTAACTCAAGTGATGGCAAATACGTTTTTTTATTTTTGATACTCTGGCTGAACACAGTCCTGTGAACAGCAAAAGATATGCAGCCATGCTTTCTATTGTGATGAAGGAATTTCAGATCGGGTTTCAAGATCGCAAAAAAAAATCATGAATTTTTTTATTTTCAGCAGCTCCATTTTCAGTTGGCATAAATACATGATCTGTGAATCTTAAAGTGGAATGTATAGAGTTGCAATGCAGAATGTGATCGTGTCTTTTTACCAAGCTTGTGTAGGAGAGAAACATCCCTCTCTTCACAGCCACACTTTGTTTGTGTCATCACTTTTTGGCAATGCATCCACTTGTGAACAACTGTAATCAAAATTGAAGACAAGAAGAGTAAGATTTCATCAGAAATCTCTGATGAGCATTCTGGTTAACTTTGTTATATCTTTTATGAGGGCTGCTTTGAAAGTAATGTCTCCTGTGGTACTACTTTGACCCATGACATCAGAAGCAGATGGTGGTGGTATGGCAATAGAGATTGAACCTTCTGCCAGTATCCCAGTATGTGTTGTTGCTGTGTGACAGATGGCAGCAGAGGGGCAGCCTGACACAGTGGCATCTGACGTGGAGGTGCAGATGAAGGAAAGATGTACCATTGAATTCCTCCACGCAAAAAAAAAAAAAAGGCATTTGTTGATAGTTGGTGAATGTTTATGGAGACCAAAGAGTGGATGTGAGCACAGTGAGGGGTGTGTGGTGCATTTCAACAGTGGCGACAGTGACAGGTGACAGTGGGTCACCTCTGCTGGTGTAGATTGTTACAAGCATGGCATGCAGGCTGTTGTTCATCACTGGTGATAATGCATGGCTAATGTTGCTGATTGTTGAAAAAGTGTTGAAAAATGGCTGCCTGGAAGTACTTCCTGCATTCAAAGGCCATTGACAGTATTGGTTATGTGCAACAAAAAGGCAGGCAGCGCTGGCACACGCTAACTCTGAGATCGCCTTGTTCAAACTCCTCCTTTTTAAAGAAAAAAAGTCAAAAAAGGTAAAGTAAAAGATAAATTCAGAACCACCTTTTGCCAGATATGAGACCATACAACATGTAACCTGAACAAGGGTATACGTGCAAGTGAATGCATGCATTTAGATCCATGCTCACAGGCTTTGTATTGGTGAGGTGCGATTTACTGAAGCGTGAGTTGAAAGTTTGTTGCTGCAAATTTCTGATTCAACCTTTCCCCTTACGGCAGTGCCACGTACAGTGCTGATGTTGACACTTTTGAGAAACAGGAAAAATCACAACAAGAGACTTCGAGGGGAGAGGGCCCACTTACTGTAGAGGCCATTGTTGACTGATTTTGTGCTGAATTAAGGTATGTTTGGTTAAACTGATTTTTCACTGAATTCCTGTTGTACTGCATTCCAGTTGCACGGCATTTTTCCCTTGGTAGTAACTGATGAACTATACTCTGCTGCTTATTTTCACACTGAAAGCTTTTAATCCAAGTAAACTTTTTCTTTCCTAGCCTTGACTAAGGATCACTGGTGAGGACTGCATTAGAGCTGCAGTTCATAAAGATGGATGTAAATTATAACAGACTGCAATGGTAAGATCTAATCATAAGGTCTCCATTAACCTGGATGTAAGATGATAGCCATGTATTCTCCTAGGAAAATGATCTTGTGGCCTCGCTCAAGTTACCAAGTTGCTGAGGTGGAGAACCCACAGGAAAATCTCTCATCTATATGGAAAAAAACGAGCACCACTTCATAGATCTGAGCATACAAAAAAAAGAAAAATAAAAAATAAATTAAATTTTCATATTTCAGCACAATTTAAAAATTGCCTGCACCATCGTTTTCCTTAGCTGTTTGCAAAGGCTACTGACTCTTTTCAGATTCCAGGACTGCATTTTGGAAGAAGAATTCCAAGATTTCCTCCCACTCTTCTATCTGAAAAACAACGACAACAAAAAAACATTCATAAAGGCTATGCTGGAACATAGATGAAGAATTGCAGTTTTTCCCAAGAACAACTGAGCTCCTGACCCATAGTCAGTGGCTGCTGTGTAATTACCCATCATTCCTCTTTCCTTTTCCTAAAGGAATTGATTACTCAGTGTAGACAACTTTTGTGTTTTTGTTTTGTTTTGGCAGTGGGGTAAGGAGAGTAAGAGTTGTCCCAACTGCGTCAGCACTCTTTCCAATGACAGAAATTGAAAGAAACACACTGCAAGAAGGAAATTCTCAGCCATCATGAGCTTAAAGAATAACTACATGTTTGGTCATGTAGCTCCATGCCAACCAATGCTGTGAGGGTAATTGTTGCCCCCAAATTCACAGCTAGAGATGGAGAACAAAAAGCTGAAAGTCCAGTACTGCCTATGTAAAAAGAATACACAGCAGTACCTAGGAGTTTAAGGAGGCTTCAACAGAAGAGTAAAAGATAGCAATAATGGAAATGCTAAGTCGTGGCATGAAGCAGTAATTGAGTACCTGGTGGGAAGGCAGGGCCAACTCAAGGGAGCTCAGGTGTATGCAATGAACCTGAATGACCAGAAGGGATGGAGCCAGGATCCACCCCTTTTCTGACCTCATTTAAGGGTAGGCAGTGGAGGTGGGGGCATCTTGCTGGAGATTGCTATCTAACTGAGGCCTTCTGAAGGTAAGCAGCTTCTTTTTTTTTTTTTTTTTTTTTTTTTTTTTTTTTTTTTTTTTTTTTTTTCCCCCCCCCCTCTCTCCCAGTAGTTTAGATATAGGGTAAAGATGAAGT